TAGTAAAGAAATTCAGAGAAAAATATATTTTGTTCATGTTCGTAAGTGTATCCAAGCCTACGAAGATGAACGTCGTTTCTCTCGATATATTTTTTTTCTTTTAGATTTAGTTTTAGATAAAAGAAAACATTTTCACACCAAAAAACGAGAATGATTCATGTGTTTCAATAGCTGAAACTTGTCTTCTGTTGATTTGTGCGCTCTAATTGGCTTATATAAAGCACTACCATCGTCGCCAAAAAAGCATGTCCGTGAATACTTTATGAATAACTTTTGGTAGAAATGAGATACAGACCAAACCGTTTGGTGATCAAATAATATAATAAACTTGTATTTTATCAATGACGCAAGCATTTCTGAGAGTGGAAGCTCGGATATTATAGGTAGAGGATTTAAAAATCAAATCGGGCCAAGTCTATGTATACTGTCCGAGACTCCACGCTCAGAAATGCTTGCGTCATGGAAAAAATACGAGTATATTATATTATTCGATCACCAAATGGTTTGGTACCAAGTTAACTGGTACTGGGACATACCTAGTTGTATAATGGTTTCGTTTGATATAACAAGTCTTTTCAATTATCTTTACAATACACCATTGATATTATTCTTGATAAAATGTACCCGGGTCATTATTACTGTAAAAATAAACAGAAAAAGCAAATTGATTGCTTATGTAATAATTGTCAGAACAGAGATTTGAAGTAGGTATGCAACAATCCCAAGCCGCTGATCGGCACCGAACGGTTTGTTACCGATCAGCGAACCCTGGCTTGGGATTATTGTATTACCGATGTTCGGTCATCAAACGGTTCGCAATCGAACATGTTCGGTGCCGATCAGCGAGCCCCAGTTTGGAATTGTTGCATGCCTAGTCTGAATTAAAGACAATGGGATGAAATTGAACTTTTGAAGGAGTGAATGTGTGTGCTACCGGATCGATACCGAACAAGTTTAAATCAAAGGTTTAAAAGAAATAGTTTGTCAAAGCTAAGAACATGAAAGCGAAAAAACACATGAAAGAAATTTCTGCAAAACACAAAAAATGGTAAAGATTACACCAAACGAAGAAGCAGCGATGATTACGCCGTAGTCGTAGGTTGTCATGTAAAGAAAAGTTGGAATTAGAGCAGCAACTTTATGTTTGCTTTATTCCAGGAAGTCCAAAGTACCTTTAGTTTCCACTATATCTGATTTACTCTCTAACTAAAGCATACTTTACTAATGTGGCCTCTGTAGCAGATTGATTTACTTTGTTTTCATGCAAATATGCTATTCCTCACTGTGCAAATAAAGCAGACAGAAAGTTGTAGCCACTATATCTTCTATATAGAAACTAAGTTTCAAAACTGATTTCATTCTTCTTTTTATCGTTAATTGGGAAGAGATCGACGCACAAAATGACGCCAGAACGAACCTTCTATCACATACCGTTGCCGAAAAAATCAAGAAATAGTGTGCAGAAAACGTAATAGCGTTAGTTTAAAAAAGTCAAATTACTCTGACAAATAGTGGTTGATCAGATATTCGTCGATGCCACCACTTAACAGCCGTTTTTGTGCAGACTGTAGACTGTCACTATAGCAGATGCACTACAACGTCAGGGCAAAGACCATCCTTGTCTACTTCTAGTGTAAACAAATATCAAAGAATTAAAAGTCAAATATACACTAAGCTGTTTATAAAGCGGTTATTTACGGTTACGGGTTATGATCGGGTACGCTTAACTGTAACCGTTGCATGCCTAAGCAAATGGCAATAGAGGCCCTCTATTGACATTTGCTTAGGCATGCAACGCCTAGATATGCATATATCTAAGATATAGTATATCTTAGATATATGCATATCTCTGTCTGAGTGTTAGAGGTCTATTATGTGCTTTCTCTTTGTTTTACTCTTACTCACTACTACTTTTTTGGCCTACTCAATTGTACAAGTAAAGTAAAAACAAATATACAAAGAAATTTGAAGTTCATACCAAATAATAAAAAACATTATTTTCTTTCTTTTTTTGTCGTGTTGTAATGACTTATTCTGTGAGAAAAAAACCATAATCATACTGCGAGACATAAAACTTTATAAATTACCTTTATTCATACACAGAGCGAGGAATGTTTCTCTAACTACTATTTCAGTTTATTAGGGTTGCTAAAAAGCGTCTTTTTTTGTGAATTTCAGATTGTATTTATAGAAAGTAATCTATCTTTGCGATGCAAACAATCTTTTAGAAAACTCATTTCACCAATCGATAGAGCTCATCGAGTTCTACCTGGCCACAAAATTTTGAGCCTTCCTATCGTTCGGAAAATCAGTATTTTGTATTTTCAAAGCGAAATAAATAATATTCCGGAAAACTGATTCCACCAGTCGATAGAGCTCATGGAGTTCTATCTGGCACACTTATTTCCACAGATGGCACAACTTTAATAAAAAACGTTAGGTGAAAATACAAAATTTTGAGCCTTTTTCTCATTCAGAAAATCAGTATTTGTCATTTTCAAAGCGAAATGAACAATATTCCGGAATACTGATTTCACCAATCGATAGAGCTCACCGAGTTCTATCTGGCGCACTTCTTTCTAGAGATGGCACATCTTTAATAAAATACGTTCGGCGAAAATATAGAAATCTGCTGCTTACTTCCTTTACGTAATTTCAGCTGTATGGCTTTGTGAACTTGAACGACATACATCTCGTTCTGCCTACAAACATACTCGTCGCTTTTCATGCGTAGATAGCAGAGGCCTGCAGCCGACCATATTCCTAAGTTGGGTTCGAATCTGAATCCGATCCAACTAGAATCCGACCAAAAAAAAGGTGTTGATCAAAAGTAAACACTTTTCTTTTTAGCTCTCTTGTTATTATATTTATTGACTTAGGTTCAAGCTTATAAACAGCTGATTTTTAGATTTTTCGAATAATTTAAATAATTTCTCCGTGATTCCTCTGTGAGCCCTGATGTCTGCCCCAATAATTACTAACTTTGAAAGCGGGGAAGATGTGGATATGTAGATATGGGATAGGTATATCCAAAAGGGCGAGTCGGGCTTGCCAAGAAGAATTTCTGAATTGGAAAATTAGAAAAGACTAAATCTATGTTACGTTCCGAGCGCTTGGATGAAGGAAAGGTAAACTATTTTGGGAGGCTAGGTTTTCTAGAAAACAAGGGTTTTCAGAAATCTGTATCTCGAGACTCCGAGGTGCAGCCTAGCTTTTCTCTGTCGAAATATATAGAACTCGATGCGCTCTTTCATTCGATACCAACTTCAAGGTTCTACGTTAGGGAATGTGGTCAGCAGAGGTTCACTAAGTTAGCCCAAATCCGTCGGAAAATGACGAAAATGCATTTTTCTGCTGCTAGGGTAAAATGGCTATAGTTCTTTTTCTAACAAGGCTAGAGGCGGTTTTCATCATTCGGTTCAGCTTGCTGAGCTCTATAATATGAGGTAGCTCTCGCCACTGACGTCAAAGGTCGGTGGTCGCTTTTATATGGATTTAGATTATCCGTCGATGCCGAAAACATCACTCTCCAGTAGCATATCTAGTGTTAGGACCAAGGGGGAGAAAACTGATTTGAGGATTTTGAAGCTTTTGAAGATTTCAGAAGATTTGGAGAGATTTTAAAGATTCAAATCAGATTTGAATTGATTTGTATTGATTCAAATCAGTTTTCCCTCCTTGCTTTTACGGCACCAGTTTTTGGTGATAAATGCTAAAATAGTATCAGTATTAAAAAAAGTAAAAATGATAAAACCGTAAAAAAAACAAATAATAAAAAGTCCTGTCCTATTGAATGAAACATTCCCAAAAGAACTACCAAGACGAAATTTTCATATAAAAAATATTTTAAATCAACATTTTAATCAAAATTATACTGAGAACGATGTGAAATACATTCTCGATACTATTCTATCGATTAGTGAACTCAAGCAACAGCTAACGACGGAATATCCTATTGAAAATTTGATATACAAATATAAGCAAATAAGTCGATTCTGGTTGATAATGTAGCAGACGTCAATTTTCTCAACATATTTTCATTTACTGATAAATGTATTAGTTGTTCAATACCGATACAATCAAAGCTGCATGGTCAATTGCACTTAATGGGATTGAAAAGTGTTCGAACGTGTACATTATATACAAGTGAATGTAGAAACTGCCGAATTGTTAATTACCTAGATAATACAGATATGATTGGTTTTCATAGCCTCATTCCTCTGAAAAGTGACTAGCGTGTAATATAGGGTGAATAATCGTCTACGCGATATCGTGGAAAAGTTTTCGATGTTTTCGAATAAAAACAACTAACATGTAGAAGGTGTGATTGTTGAACGACAGTATCGAAATGATCGGCTACTCGATTAAATAATATAAAATGTGCGGATGAACGATCATCATTATAATTAATCGGTCGTCTCAAATTTGCTATAATAGTCGAAAAGAAAACAAACTTATAAACTTTTGTAATCTCTAAATTTTCTTATTTTTAATTTGTAAGAAAACTGCATGATAAACAACCAGTTTTAAACAAAAATTGGTAACTTAACGGATGTTCTCGATAAACATGAACTACCCGTTTTTCTGGAAAACTTTGGACTAAAAATCCTAATCAAATTTATTTTATCTATGCAATTTTTTCCTGCATAAAAAAAGCTGGACAAGCGAAAAACTCTGCGAAGAATAACAACATCGATCAAATTAATCATAAGAAATGTATTGTATAATAAAAGAATCGATCTGATTAGATTGTCTAAAATCGACTTCCACTATAAGGCGACTTTTTCAGTAATTTTTTAAAAAATGACAGAAACGTAAACTTTAGTTAAAATAATCTGAATATAACCGTATAGCTTTTTCTGTCAAGGTATAGAATTTTAAAGAGCACACTTACATGATTCTTTTTCATTATCGAAATCATTTTTTTCAAACTGATACACTACATTTTCAAAACAGTGTACAACAGTGAGTAAATGTGTCAACGACGGGACAGCTGGATTTTTTACTAAAAATCTTAGATGTTGTGGCCGGGTTCCTGCAACTGCTTCCGTCGTATAAAATGTAAAGCGATTATGTAAACCTTCATAACCGATTTTATTAGCGACTTTTGTTAATATTGTCGTAAATTTTGCACCAGTTGTACCACCGAGTATTGACAGTTTTGCGCGTTCAATATAGGAAACTGTTGAGCAGGTTGTTCGTGTTGCGTTGCTAATACCATCAAATGCAGTACATAATAGCGCATTGACTTCAGATGTTTTCGAGTCTTCAATATTATAAATGCCAAGTTTTTCAAATGTAATATCTGCTTCTCCGTTGCCGAGCAGCTTGTCTCCACTTTGTTAATATTGTCGTAAATTTTGCACACATGACCGGATTTACAAACATGACCCGAAGGAATAACTCTCCTACAATGGTATTTTTCTTTAGTTATAGATAAATTCAATGAAGAGCAAAAACGTGGCAAAAGACACAGGCAGGCGTCGATTTCAGCGACATTGTCAAGGGAAAAAGCAAAGCCATTGCTACAACGAGCGATAGCAACCCGAAGTAGATCTAAACATTCGAAGTAATGGTCACTATTACTGCGATAGTGTTATCTATTCATAGTGGCTACATTTCTTGTATTTTTTACTGTTTCGTAATTATTAGAAAAGCATTTTATTCTGTTATTTTTTTAATTAGTTTATGACTTATATTATTAATTTTTATTCCTGCTACTGAAAATTTTCATTTTTTGTTATTAATTGTGTACGTTGATGTGTTAAATCCACAGCAATTTTATTGACATCTCTTAACTTTCTCTTTCAGTTGCTGTGTAGTGTACTTACTCTAAAGTTACCATTTAACTCACTCAAGTTTTCGTATTACTTTTATATCGCCTGTCTTCACTAGGCTTTACGCAAATAAGACGTATATACATTTTTCCTGGTTTTATATAATCTATATATATATATGACAGTGGAAATTGGAATTCAGGGGAATTGCGAATTCCACTAGTGGAAATTGGAATTCCAATCTCCATAAGTGCAAATTAGAATAAAGTGACTATTCTAATTTCAACTAGTGGAAATTGAGATTCTAATTTCCACTATAAGGGGATTCCGAATTCCACTAAAAATAAAAATCATACAGATTATTCTTATGTACACTATAGTGGAAGTCGGTATTTACTATAATACAGTGTAAATAGAAGCAAAAATAGAAAGAATTGAATGATACACACTAGACTATCCTTTATTAAGGCGCGGGCCCGCCGCCGCCGGCGCGGGCGAGGG